GCCTTCCAAAAACTTTTTTTTCAAGTTAAAGAGACACTTTTACCAGTGGTTCTCCACATATATCTAAACAATGAGTCCCATTTTTTACGCACGAATTGACGACCACTTCTCCGTAGAGTATAAACTGAGATGATTAAAATAAAGCACTCACTGGACCAACACAATTTATAATAACTTTTGATTGGAGAGTCATGGAATCGATTGATGAAAGATCCTCAATATTGGCGACAATAATTGAAACTTTAGATAAAGATATATCTAGCGGTTAAGTTGACAAGAAATGCAAACCAGTAAGGTCCTCCACGTCTCTAAGGGCATTCCTTAATTTGTCATCGTTTCTTCCAGCAATAGCCCATCGTACTTTTTCGGAATCCTTTAGTGTACGAGCAAGCTCCTCGACGACATACTTGCCGGTATAGCCAGTGGCACCGAAAATGACGATATCGAAAACTCTCAAGTCAGTCATAGGTTGCGCGATGAGGCAAAACAAAGTATTTCCCCCCCCCTTAAATTTCATCATTAATGTGTATATGATATATAGGTATAACATTTTAAATTTTAACAACGCAATTTATCTATGGGGTTTTTGAAATGCCTAGGAATGACCCCAATGCGCCTGCAAAGGCCTTGTCGTCGTTCAACTTTTTTGTAAAGCACAAATCGAATCAAAATGTATCATATGGCTTTCTTACATTTGCCGAACGCAATAAGAAACTGGGCATTGAATGGGGCTCTCTTCCAGAATCTGACAAATTGCCTTTCATCAAGCTCGCAATGGATGACAGACTTCGCTACAAGAAGGAAATGGAAGTTTATAAGAAATCAGCTAATTACAAAAACTGGGTCGTTGCTCACAAGGGTACTTGCAAGAAAGATAGCTCACTTAAAGCGAGAACTAAATCGGGACGAGATACTCATCTTCCCATCCCAAGCATAACTGATGAACAGTTCAGGCTTCCCATTTTTGCCCCTGACTTTTTGGAATTTAACAGATTACGGGAAGCTAAATTGCGATCGTTAAGAAAACAGGTTAGTAAAAGCGTTTTAAGGTC